TTTGGCCAGCTGCAGTAGCTAGGGACGATTAGGCAGAATCCTTCGAGCGGCGGCAGACTGTTGCCTTCTGAACAGATGTCTCTTTCCAACGAGACGGCTGTTCCTTCAAAGCACGGCTACGGTGGTCTTAGCAGCTTCGATACAAAGACTGCACCAAGGACGATTACGAATTTCGCAAAGCGATAATCTCGCGTCTTTTGGGCCCGGTCGTGGGAAAGTTGAAACTGTCTTCTGAGGGGGTTTGAAATGACGCCTTTTATGCATAGCTTTGTTGGGGTTTCTTTGCCACTTTGTAGTGCGCAGAATAAAAATTATTTTTGCTTTTAAACAATCATGTGGTCATTTTTAATAAAAAGTAACGAGTAACGGCTAACGTAATTTGATAGCAGATACCGTAAAATAGTAACGACATTACTTTACTCGTTACTCATTTGGAATTCTAACGAGCACGTTAGTTAAAAAAACTAACGCGTTACCAGTAACGTCGTTACTTGTAACGCGTTAGTTCCAACACTGCACATACGGCCAACACAATTAAACTGAACCAATGATAGATATTCGCACATAAGGCTCAAAACCCCAGTCGCTTGACGGCCATTGGTGCCCCGTCTGGCGACTGGTTTCGCATGTTGCACCAAGGGCCCTTCCACCACCCCTCTCCCCCCTTGCAGAAAATAAAGAAACTGAAACCGAAGAAAAGGAAAGACGTTTACAGTTCTCCGTAATGCCGAATTAGAGCGCAGCTTTTGACGAGAAGGAGGGGAGGGGATGCCCCTCCTCCCTCTCCATACCTTCCCCCTTCTCTCCTGCTCCCCTCCCATTTCGCAGGAAATTTTCGCTCAATTCCCCGCTAAAGTTAGTGGGGAAATTTTTCTGCTAGATTTAGCGGTGAAGATTTCCCGCTAAATTTAGCGGGGAATTTCTTCCGCTAGAGTTAGCGGGGCAATTTTTCCGCGAAATTTATCGCAAAAATTTCCCCGCAAAATTTAGGCGCCGCGTGACGTCACGAGGGCCCTCGTGACGTCATTCGTGACCCTCGTGACGTCACGTGTGATGTAATTATGGGAACTTCCATAATGCAACGCGCGGTGATGGCGACGGCGACGGCGACGCTGCTCAAGCCGGAAATGGCCGCCTAAGAGCTGCGTTTTCAAAACATATACACCCGCACCTACTCAAACGTGATTAGATGACCAGACTAAAACCCCATTCACACGATCATAAAGGGACCTTTAGCCAAGGAACCTTTATTCTCCGCGGCGAATCAATTCACGATTCCGCGTGGCCTCTGCTCGCGACCCAAGAGCGGGGCTTGATTCGCTGATTGCAGAGGGTGGTACCTTCGTGATGGCCGTGTGAATGAGGGACAAGCCTGTCTACTCACTCCGTTCATCCTGAGACTGAAAGCTCTGCCTTCGGCCCAAGCTCTCTGCCCTTGTTAACACAAGTGTGAACGTGCAGGCACGAGCAACCAAGGCACTGCAAAAGCCAGCGAGCTCGCGCTTCAAGTCTCAGCTTAATGGTGAACTGAGTATAGACGCTTTACACACGCGCCAAATTACAGCCGCCATGGCTGACCTTCTCTTGTCTTACCAAGATGCCGAGCAACTGAAACGGTAGTTGACGATCCTCTACAAAAGCCGATGCTTTAGAAAAGAACACAGTTGAATCTAATCTGGCAATAACCTGGCCTGCTATGGTAATGATGAAGTGAAATAAACGAAATAAGAGGTAACAAAATCTGAAGGTCAGTTATGGCGGCGTCCATGCACAGCTGCTGCAAAGTGTCTATAGATAGGGGAATCGGGTAGGCCGAGTGGGTTAGCGCACCTCAGCTCGGAGCATGTGGAGCAGAAGCTCGCGCTACAGAGCCCAGGGAACCCGGGCTCAACCCCACCCCTGCCCATTTCAATTTGAATGAACATCGTA